CTCTTCTCTCTCTCTCTCTTCCTCTCTCTGTCTCTCTCTTTCTCTTCTCTCTCTGTTATTTTTACCTCCGTTGTCGTCTCTTCTCTTCTCTTCTCTCTCTTTTCCTCTCTCTGTCTCTCTCTTTCTTTTCTTCTCTTTCGTTATTTTTACCTCCGTTGTCGTCTCTTCTCTTCTCTCTGTCTCTCTTTTCCTCTCTCTGTCTCTCTCTTTCTTTTCTTTCTCGTTATTTTTACCTCCGTTGTCGTCTCTTCTCTTCTCTCTGTCTCTCTCTCTTTTCCTCTCTCTGTCTCTCTCTCTCTTTTCTTCTCGTTATTTTTACCTCCGTTGTCGTCTCTTCTCTTCTCTCTGTCTCTCTCTTTCCCTCTCTCTGTCTCTCTCTTTCTTTTCCTTCTCGTTATTTTTACCTCCGTTGTCGTCTCTTCTCTTCTCTCTGTCTCTCTCTTTCCTCTCTCCGTCTCTCTCTTTCTCTTTCTCTCTCTCTCGTTATTTTTACCTCCGTTGTCGTCTCTTCTCTTTCTCTCTCTCTCTCTTTTCTCTCTCTGTCTCTCTCTTTCTTTTCTTTCTTGTTATTTTTACCTCCGTTGTCGTCTCTTCTCTTCTCTTCTCTCTGCGCGCGCACAGACTCCGGCCCGTGTGCGCGCGCTCTCTGGTGCGTCGTTATTTTTAGCGCCAGACTTTGCACGTTGTCGGAGATGGGCGCAGTTGGCTCCGGCGCTCGCGCTGGCAGAGCTGAGGATTTGACAAACAAGTTGGCTCGACGCACACGATGCACAAAACACGCACAGTAGCGCACGATAACAGCTGCTGACGTGAAATACAAGGCGCGCGAGCTTCACATGAGCCACTGTCCGGACCCGGGCCTCGTGCTTCCGGTTTGTAAATATATTTAAGAGCGACGGCTAATGTGTGACCGGATTTTCAAAGTAAAACACTGGGACGTCGCTGGTTTGTGGTGGCTGGTAATGAAATTGTACAACGAGTGTGAAATTACGGAAAATTGGCACTAATGTGAGTCAGTATAATCACATTTTCTTTTTGTTTGTTGTCGCTTTTAAGCAGCTTTTCTGTATTTTACCAAAACAAATGCCTCTTTTTACTGTTGGCAGGGGTCAAATTGGTCAAAAATAGGGACAAAAATAAGGACATTTCTTGTATAAAACTGGGACAGATCAGTGGTTTTGTATAAATCTGCTGGGACAGGGGACACAGGGCTCCAAACTGGGATTGTCCCGGGTAAATAGGGACGTCTGGTCACCCTAGACCAGGGGTGTCCAAACTTTTTTCATCAAGGGCCACATATCTAAACACCGACGAAGCAGAGGCCTGATCGAGGCTGTAAAATAGTGCTCAATACAGCGAATAACTGAAATATGTTAGAATTCAACCATCAGTCCTTTATTCATGCTAAGATCCTTAAAACCACACACTAAATATTAAATATTAGCTTTATCAAGGTAGATTTTCAAAAAATTTGCAGGAAAAAGTTCATTTTTAATTGATGGACCAATTCACCTGAAAGCCTGAGGGCCAAGAAAAATGTGTCTGAAGGCCGCATTTTGCCCACGGGCCATAGTTTGGACATGGCTGCCCTAGACTAATGAAGAGATGAGGGATGGTAAATGGTCACATTTTTCTGTAGCGATTTTCCACCTTCAAGGCACTCAAAGCGTTTTACAACAAGGAACCACTCACCCATTCACACACCAGTGTACGCAGACACTGTGGGCAAGGTGGGTTAAATGTCTTGCCCAAGGACACAACGACAGCATTCATCTGTGGGAGCTGGAATCACACAGCCAGCAACCTGTGAATCAGTGGATCTGATGCTCAGCCTGTGATGTTTATGTTGAGAGCTGGAATCAAACCGCCAACCTTCAGATCAGTGGGCGAATGCTCTACCAACTGAGCTACTGCCGCCCCAGTATGTATGTATGATGTAACAATAATCAAAATATTGTGATATTGTATCGTCAAAAGTTTCACAATAATCATGGGCCGTTGGAATATTTCAAATCTCAAGTGTCTCTGCTTAAATTCATTGCTTTGGTGCAGCAACAGCTAAAGAACTATATAGACCATGATCCTTTGCTCTAGTTTCAGGCCAATCCATGTTTTGAAGTAACTGTTATGAAGCACTTTTAAATCTTGTTACATACTCACAATTTATTTATTTTTTTCCATAACATATCTCAATAAATATCGTACTGTGAGATGGATATTGTGAGAATATCGTATCGAGAAGGCTGGATATCGTTACATCCCTAGAAGACATGTGTTTGAAAAAAAAAAAAAAAGTTCTGCTATTATCTTTTGAATGGTGGAAAGTCCTCAAAATATCACCTCTAACTTTTTATTTAAAGGTGCATTGTGTAACTTTTCTGGTGGAAGGTCCGTCACCTGCTTGTTTTTATGGAGATGTCGTTTAGCAGCAAGAGCGTAGGTTTGGTCTCAGCTTTGGTCGGGACATTATCAGCTAAACTCCACCATGAAACCAACTGACAGGTTACTCGATTAACAGATTAATGATATAATATTATTTACTTTTCATATGATGCACACTGCAACAACCAAACAGCACATCTTTATAAGAAAGGGTAAAATGGTATAAGAAGTTGCGTTTATGTTTTATGAATTCTTTCCAAAAACACACAGAGTCTGGGCAGGTCAAAAATAAGTGAGAGGTGGTTTCATTTTTCAGTTTGTTTGTGTCCATTGTTCTTCTAAGATGATTCTTTAGCGCACAGGTGTCAAACATGCGGCCCGGGGGCCAGATCCGGCCCTCCAAGACCTGTAATCTGGCCCTCGGCTGATTTTCTACTAAAATATTTTGATTCTATTTTTTATTAAAGTATTGTTAATTTTCTGTGGTGTTTATAACAGCAGCGTCTCCAGCGTCTCTGTACGTGGCCCCTCCCACCAGAGCAGCACAAATGAAGACTTGTCTCTTTCCAAACGCTCTTAAAGGACGATCGTTTTGACTGTTGACCGTGACACCCTCATCAGAAAAATGTCCAAAATGAGAAAAGTGGAGCCGAGTGCAGGATTTTCCAAGAAAAACTTACGTATTCCTATTTATACAAGTTAATGTTAAACAAGTTCATGTTAAAATATTGTGTTGAAATTGTATTTTTCTTCAAGTTTCAGGTTGTTCATAATATAATATTTTGTAAAAGAAAGAGTTCATCAATTAAAAAAGATTTCTGTAATAGATTTGAATTTCTCTGCACAAATATTTGAACTTATTGTTATTTTTGGGGTTTATATGTCATGAGTTTTCTGATCCGGCCCCTTTGGGATCAAAGTCAGTTGGATACGGCCCCCGGACCAAAATGAGTTTGACACCCCTGCTTTAGCGGATAACAGCGATGTAGAAGTTTGTAGCAGATTTCTCTTTGCTTGTTGGCGATGAGATATTTGTGAGGTTATGTCCGTACATTTTTCCATGGAATATTGTCCAACAGTGCATGAGTAGAGCGCCGTTTGGGAGGTGCACTTGTGGTGATCGTCGCTCTTTTTCTGCGGCAACTCATTATAAGGCAAGTTTAACTGAAGATGAAGCCGAGTCAGTTCCTTTTAAAAAGTTTTTCAAAGTTTGGTGCAGCGTCTTCACTCTCGCCTGCTCAAGCCGACATCTTCAGGTGCGGCTCTGTCCTGTCGCTTCCCCAGTTTAGGCTCCTGGCTCCACTAATGACATCACTCTGTTGCAGCCAATGAAACAGCGGCAGGTGTAACCCTGTCTTCATATCACTGTATACATCTCAGAACGTCCAATAAACAAAATGTGAACTAAAACGTGTTCAATTAACGCTACTGAGTTTGGAAAAATATCTGAATACATTTATATTTTTGTTCATTTATTTTGTCTTCCCCAAATATTGTCTGTGACATGTCCCCACTGTCTCTATGGACACCTACGCCCTTGGTTATCAGCCTGGAATGTTCCACAGTGTGTCATTAAACAGCTCTAACTTACATTTATCCAATTACAAGTTGTTTTATAGCAAAAAAACAGGCATTCTGACTGTGAGCAGGATCGCCTTTCCACAGATCTGACCTGTAACTTGGTCTGGTTTGGTTTTCATGAAGATAGAAAGGTTTAATATCATACTGTGAAACATTCCAGAGAAAGAAACAACATCTCCACTAGAAAAGTTACACAATGCACCTTTAAATCATAAATATTGTTAACAACGAGTGGATGAAGTACAGGTTTATTCCTGGTTTAGTCCTGGTTCAGTCCTGGTTTAGTCCTGGTTTAGTCCTGTTTCAGTCCTGGTTCACTCCTGGGATAAGTCCTGTTTTAGTCCTGTTTTAGTCCTGGTTTAGTCCTGTTTCAGTCCTGTTTCAGTCCTGGTTCAGTCCTGGTTTAGTCCTGGTTCAGTCCTGTTTTAGTCCTGGTTTAGTCCTGGTTCAGTCCTGGTCCCTCATGTCTCAGGTCATTATAGGACAGTACTTGTGTTTTGTATCTTTTATCTTTTTTTTTAACCTCTGCCTGTTCAGTATTTACCTTTGTACCATTTAGAGCTCTTCATTGGACTTGCACGACTTGAATTGCAATAAATAACTGGAAAAATTAGGGTGTTCTGAGCATTGTTTCAAAGACAGGGTCGCAAGAGATTTTTTTTCTGGGTCACCTTGTCACGATCTGCATGTAAGTCTGAAATATACAGTTCTGACACATGAGAGAGCGAGTGAATATCCTGTCCTCAGTAGGGCCAGTATTTTTTTATGCTTGTTCCTTTCACTACTACAAACACTAAAAGTTTTAACTCTACTTTAACACTGTTTAAATCCAGGCTCAAAACAGTTTTATTCAGCTGTGCACATGACTGAAAGGTTTTCATTCTGCACTCTTCTCTCTCATTGAAATTTTTTGATGATTATTTATGTTTTGATTTGTTTGTATTGTGATATTAATGTATTTCTTATTCTGTGAAACACTTTGAATTTGTGTAAACTTGCCTTGCCTTGGATTGAATCTTTTTTTGTTTTGTTTGCAGGTCTGGGGGAGTCCTGGGGTCACGTGAGCCGCACCTCTTTGGACGGAGTCAGCCAAGAACTGGGTTCTCACCTCCTGCAGGTGCCCACACAACACAACACATGTTCATTAATGCATATCCATGTTTACAGATCATCACAGATTTCCAACAACTGTACAATCTCTCTAGCCAGGCTGGTGCCACCTAGTGTCTCCGCTCAATTTCATTTCTCTCTAGCGACTAGGTCAGGAATCAGAATACACTGGACGGTTTGCCAGAACTTCGGAAGTTGTAGACCACGCACAGGCCAATCATCGAAGAACTGAACCAGCCCAAGTTGCGACAGCAGACTGCATACAATATTCTATGTTATTAGGTTCTTTTGTCAGACCAAGAGTTTGTTTTCACACCTTTCGACTGCTCACTAGCGGTCTTCCTCAGAGTCACGTGATGTTGCTGTGACATGTCTGGTCAGCTGATTTATACAGGTTTTCGCGCTGTCTTCCTACCGATGGAGGCAGGACAACAGCGCCATCTGTCTCCACCGGTAGGAAGACAGCGCCAAAACCTGAGGAAGAGCGCTAGTGAGCAGTCGAAACTGTCAGGTATGAAAACAAACTCTTGGTCTGAAAAAAGAACCTAGTAACATAAATTATCAGAAGACCAAATGAACCTCCTCGGACTACATACACTATTCTCCTTTAGACTTCCTTTGTCAAATACAAACTTTGCATTTTTTATCGCACCTTTAATTTGCAAGTTCATCTCGCAGAAACAATAATGATCGTTGACAGACATGTTCACTCTCTGCTTTGTTTGCTGTTGTGTTGGCAAGTACCTGGACACCATTGAGCGTTCCGGTGCATTTCATACGTCATGACCAAATAGCAGCGATTGGTTAAATAAAAAAAGTACCCGTCTACCATCAAGCGAATGAATCCTAATGCTGCGAGGTCAGACGGTTTCCACGAAGTCAAACCAGCTGATGAATCAGGCTACAATCTCTCTGCCTCCAACTGTCATATTTAAAGGCACCTGCTGACACTTTTGCAGCTTCAGTCATCCATATTCTCTGAGGTGTGATGCTAACTGTAGGCTCTGCTCTGTCTGAGACTGAAAATCAAACAACTAAACAGGACCATGAACTCTCGTATTGATCACAAGCTCCTGAAAATGTGCTGTTTAAATCCATTTTTGCTTGAGTTTACAGACAATCTTAAAACTTTAATGTGTGCGTTGTGTCACCATGTCCACCAATAGACGTACATGTAGAACACCCCCAGCATGATGTAGCCGTAAAGTATCAAGAGGTTTGTATGTTGTTGTTTGGATCGTCAGAAGAAGTTCATAATGCCCATAACATTTATTTATTTATTTTATTTTTTGCAGCAAATGTACAGTTCAATACATGCTGATGATGCAATAACATAGGCTACAGTACAAGTTATAGAGCTTTAAGGATTATTGTGGAACTTTTTCAGACAATCATGATGTCCACCTAACTCCAGATGTTGCCATCGGTGCCCCCATCATGATTTGGGTTGTATTATTTTGTACGGGGCCGATCTTGACAGTAAATAAGTTCAATACGGACGATAAAGCTGTATTAAACCCCTCAGAGAATCGGTGCTGTGTGACTTGTTGGTGCACATGAAAGTCGAGCATTTTACACAAATGAAGCGACTTTATGTCAGATTTAAGATGCAAAACATTTCTCAAATTCTTAAAAATGGGATCCCTGTTTCACCGAAGTGTCACGACAAAAAAACGCAATTTAGGAGGGTTTAGAGACAAAAGTGGTCTGTAGGTTTGCGGAACTTCCGGTTGATGGTTTTCTGTGGCAAAATGTCTGTGTAAATGTCTATTTTCCACCAGCTTCGTAAATCTGCCCTATCACCAAATCTTCAACCAACAAGGTCCACAAACGATAAACATTCTAACATGAACAATTTATCCACAACTATCAAGTTGAGAAAGACGAAAACTTAAAGGCGAACAACGACAAGCATTAGGGAGCTACTGAGCAAAACCAATGTTATGGTCCTAGAGATGTCTCGCATTCGAACTGCACAAATCTATCTATGTTAATATCAACATCATGAAATCGATTTTTAATTTTAATTGTAGAATCAGTCTGAGTGAACAAGTTATTTATGTTTTATTCATGAGCATAATGTTAGTTTTGTTCAGTAGTTCACTAATGTGTCATTGTTGTTCTCCTTTAAAGTTTCGTCTTTCTTACATTGATAGTTGTGGACAAATTCTTCATGGTTTAGTCCTGGTTTAGTCCTTGTTCACTCCTGGTTCAGTCCTAGTTTAATCCTGGTTTAGTCCTCTTGGTTTAGTCTTGGTTTAGTTCATTCTCCTTGTTTAGTCCTGGTTCAGTCCTGGTTTAGTCCTGGTTTAGTCCTCCTGAATCAGTCCTGGTTTAGTACTCTTGGTTTAGTCCTGGTTCAGTCCTGGTTTAGACCTCTTGGTTCAATTCTGGTTCAGTTCTGGTTCAGTTCTGGTTCACTCCTGGTTTAGTCCTGGTTTAATCCTGGTTTAGTCCTCCTAGTTCAGTCCTGGTTCAGTCCTGGTTTGTCTTGGTTTAGTTCTGGTTTAGTCTTCCTGGTTTAGTCCTGGTTCAGTCCTGGTTTAGTCCTGGTTTAGTCCTCCTGGTTTAGTCCTCCTGGTTTAGTCCTGGTTCAGTCCTGGTTTAGTCCTGGTTCAGTCCTGGTTTAGTGCTGGTTTAGTCATAGTTCAGTCCTGGTTTAGTCACAGTTTATTCCTGGTTTAGTCCTGGTTTAGTCCTCCTGGTTCAGTCCTGGTTTAGTCTTGGTTTAGTCCTATGTCAGTCCTGGTTTAGTCTTGGTTTAGTCCTCTCTCCGTCTATCTATCTATCTATTCCTCCTGTTGTATTAATGTAATTATTGGCTGGAGACCTTTGTGCGTCGATCAGCCGGGCGTGTGGCAGAACGAGACACCTCCTGCTGCCTTACTCTTCCTCCTCCCTCTCCTCCCCCTCCTCTTCTTCTCCCTCTTCCCCCTCCTCCTCCTCGTCCTCCTCCAGCTTTAAGACACAAATGAGCCGAACGCATTCCTAGTCACGCACTCTCCCTCTCGCTCTCTCTCTCTTTTTCTCTTTATCTTCCTCTCTCTCAATCTCTTTCTCTCTCTCTCAGTCATCTTTCTCCCTCTGTTTCTCTTTCTCTCTTTATTTCTCTCTCTTTCCATCTCTCCACAACACAAAAGATCCCACGTTAGGCCCATAAAAATGACACACTCACACATTTGCTGGTGACCACAGAACAAAACACAGGTTTAAATGTGTCGTCATCACCAAGTGTCTGTAAATGAGAGTGAAATTTAAGGATAAAGCAACAGTAATAACAAAATAAATTGAACAAAGGCTTCATTTCTGACATTTTAAATCCGAAACCTCTCAATAAGATTTATTGTGATATTTTGTAGAGGCTAGAAAAACTGTGAATACACAAATTTTTTCTCTTAAAATGCCTTGAAAAGACTTAAACCAAAAAAGATTCAACATGATTATGCTGCATTCAATTATCCATCTATCTCCCACTCTGATCTCGGACATGACGTCACATACACTCTTCCATCCATCCATCCATTTTCTTCCTCTAATCCAGGGCTGGGTCACAGGGGCAGCAGTCTAAACAGGGACTCCCAGACTTCCCTCTCCACAAACACTTCCTAAAGCTTTTCCAGGGGGACCCCAAGGCGTTCCCAGGCCAGCCAAGAGACATAGTCTCTCCAGCGTGTCCTGGGTCTTCCCTGGGGCCTCCTCCCGGTGGGACATGCCCAGAACACGTCCTGAGGGAGGCGCCCAGGAGGCATCAGAACAGATCCCCAAGCCACCTCAGCTGCTCCTCTCGACATGGAGGAGCAGCGATTCTACTCCGAGCTCCTCCAGTGTGACTGAGCTCCTCACTCTATCTCTAAGGAAGCACCCAGCCACCCTGCGGAGGAAACTCATTTCGAGCGTGTATCCGCGATCTTGTCCTTTCAGTCCGGCCCCTGACTGCACCTTGAAATTCTGTCCATATATACAATGAACAGAACCGGTGACAAAGTGCACCTGGAACAGGTTTGACTTACTGCTGGCAATGCGAACACAGCTCCTGCTCTGGTCATACAGGGACCGGACAGCCCTTAGGAAAGAGCCCCAAACCCCATACTCCCAGAGCGCCCCCCACAGGACAAAAACTTCTTTTTAATTACAATTTTCACCAGGCCAAGTTACTTTATTTCATTTATTATTTTTTACCAGCTCAGTGTTAGAACTTTATCGTTTATTACAATATTTTTCAAAAACTATTTGTGATACTTATATAGACTTGTGGTGAAATCGTGTACCTTATCTTATTATTATCATTATTTCTTTCTTTGCAGACTCTAGACGGCTTCATCTTTGTGGTCGCTCCAGACGGAAAAATCATGTACATTTCAGAAACTGCCTCTGTGCACTTAGGTCTCTCCCAGGTGAGTGCGCTCTTATGTTACTCCATTCAAATATCTCTGTAATTCACCGTATCTCTGCTTATATTTCATTGTACTGAGAGAATTGAATGGAGGCTTTGTTTGATATAAAGAAAAATCTCCTGGGGGTTGATAGAGGAGAAGAGGGAGAGGCTGAAGAGGCTGATGTTTCTGCTGCTGCGTTGGGGATGAGACAGAGGAGGGTGTGGATAAAGTGTCAGGTCATGGGAGGGGAAAGAGCGATTTATATAAATGATCTGAAATGTGATTGGTTGAGACGAAATCATAGCAGGTTTTGATTGGTGGTGGACAGTGACTACAATACTAGAGTAGTTAAGGGTCGTCTGAACCAAGATTAACTGTGGCTAAACCAAAACTAAAAATGAAAAACAAAAACATAAAAAAACAAAACAACAAAAAAACAGGTCTTATTAAGCACAAAACCAGGACTAAATTTGACTAAACTGAAACTAAATATGAAAAACTAGGACTAAAGATGACTCAACTAAGAAAATTTGATTAAACCAGGACTAAATAAGCATGAAACCACACATTGTTTATATTTTGGTTTATTTGCACATAAATGCAATTTTTTTTAGGTCAGTTCAACCTGGGGTCAAGTGAAGATAAGAAGTTTCTATAGTGGAAGGTCAAATTCTTTATGGAAGGGGAATTTTCAATAGTCATTTCTATCCAGCAACTAGGTCATGAATCAAAATACAATAGACTGTTTCCAAAATCCCCGGAAGTGCAATCAAATAACCATATATTCAGTGTTGTCAACGATTACCGAGATCGAGGATTTAAAGCCGGAACAAAGAGGTGAATTGGTGAATTTGGTGAATTTTATCAAGAGGAAAGACGTTATTGTCCTTCTTCCTACGGGATTTGGAACAAGCTTAATATACCAGTTTCCCCCGTTAGCGGCGCATTACATACGTCACTACCAAATAGCAGTAATTGGTTAAATTATAAAAAGTACGAACGAACGAATGAACGAATTCTAATGCTGCGAGGAGAGACGGTTTGTACGAAGTGAAACGAAGTAAAACCGGCTGATGAATCAGGCTAGAATTTCAGTGCATTAAACTTAAACTTAGACAAAATGGATTGATCCATGAGTTGTTGAACAGTTGTAGGGAGTATTATCTGTTACATAATGATGAGTTGTTGTACAGTCGTAGGGAGTATTATATATATTACATAAGGCAAGTTGTTGTACAGTTGTAAGGAGTATTATCTGTTACATAAGGGTGAGTTGTTGTACAGTTGTAGGGAGTATTATCTGTTACATAAGGGTGAGTTGTTATAGAGATGTAGGGAGTATTATCTGTTACTTAAGAGTGAGTTGTACAGTTGTAGAGAGTATTATCTGTGTGAGTTGTTGTACGGTTGTAGGGAGTATTATCTGTTTTATAAGGTTGTTGTATAGTTGTAGGGAGTATTATCTGTTACATAAGGGTGAGTTGTTGTACAGTTGTAGGGAGTATTATCTGTTACAATAGGGTGAGTTATTGTACAGTTGTAGGGAGTATTATCTGTTACATAAGGGTGACTTGTACAGATGTAGGGAGTATTATCTGATACATAAGAGTGAGTTGTTGTACAGTTGTAGGGAGTATTATCTGCCACATAAGGGTGAGTTGTTGTACAGTCGTAGGGAGTATTATCCGTTACATAATGGTGAGTTGTTGTACAGTTGTAAGGAGTATTATATATATTACATAAGGCGAGTTGTACAGTTGTAGGGAGTATTATCTGTCACATAAGGGTGAGTTGTACAATTGTAGGGAGTATTATCTGATACATAAGGGCAAGTCGTACAGTTGTAGGGAGTATTATCTGTCACATAAGGGTGAGTCGTACAGTTGTAGGGAGTATTATCTGTCACATAAGGGTGAGGTGTACAGTTGTAGGGAGTATTATCTACGACATGTTCTAAGTTGAGAGTGTTTTTTCAGGTAGAGTTAACTGGAAACAGCATTTATGAATACATCCACCCGGCCGACCACGACGAGATGACCGCAGTGCTCACGGCTCACCAGCCCTACCACTCGCACTTTGTACAGGGTAAGATCCCGAAGAAGACGGCATGAACGGTATTTAGTCTGAGTTTGTTTTTCTTATTTTCTTATTTTTTTGTTTCAGAGTACGAGATGGAGCGATCCTTTTTCCTCCGAATGAAATGTGTTTTGGCCAAAAGAAACGCAGGGCTCACGTGTGGAGGATACAAGGTGAGACGTTTACTGAAATCAACGGAAAGGTCAGTGAACGGTGTAGCTTTTTGGTTGGGGGCCTGTCACTTCGTTGTTTCTATGGAGATGCCATTGCCCTGCCTGGAATGTTCCACAGTGTGACATTAAACAGCTCTACCTTACATTTATTCAGTTACAGATGGCTTTTAAGATCAAAAATACCCAGAAAAACAATCATTCTGACTGTGAGTGGGGTCGTCTCTTCACTGACAGATAGAAAGGTTTAATGCCATACTGTGAAACCTTACAGGCAAAGCAGCAACATCTCCATGGAGAAAAGCATTTGACAGACCCCCTTCCAGAAAAGTTACACAGTGCGTCTTTAAATTGATCTAAGAAAATCAGAAATGGCACTGGAACAAAATAAAGAAATGAGGAAGGCATTTTTTAAGGACAACAACAAAATCACCATTTTCTTCCACGGGGGCAGCAGTCTAAGCAGGGACTCCCAGACTTCCATCACCTCCAAACACTTCCTCCAGTTCCTCCAAGGCGTTCTCAGGCCAGCCTAGAGACATAGGCTATGGTTCAGACTGTAGCCTGAAGTGACCCAAATCAGATTTTTTGGCCCCATGTGACCTGTATCTGATCTTTTAATGATAGTCTGAATGACACAGATCCAATTTTTTCAAATGTGACCCAGGACACTTGGATATGTGGTCCTGAAACTGATACATATCTGATCTTTTGACATGCAACTTCAGTCTGAACGGCCAAAGTGCATTCATCCACCTACACGTTATCAACAAGCCACAAACGTCACTATTCTGAAGTAGGCGAAAATTGTTAATGAACTCCGTGTCACTGAAGCGAAGCACATCACCATTCACCACACTTGTCTCCACATCCACACGTTCCTTTCAACGGACGTCGCTGCCGCTGTCCCACAAAACGCCACGGCCAAAAACCTCGTCCTTCTTCTTCTCAATCTCCTCCTTAAAACAAGTAAGTTGTTCATGTTCTGGCTCCGGTACAAGAGGAACTTTAAAATCTCCAGGTGCTCAATGCTGCGTCCATGTTTGGACCTCTTCCGTAAACACAGAGCACGCTTGTTGACGTCTTCGTGTCTCCAGTGCACATGCGAGACACTTTTGGGCCGTTTAATGTTCACACTGGAGTCACATACAAGTCACATTTAATTGGAAATGTGAATGACCTCGCAAAAACATCAGATTTCACAAAAAAAATCGGAATTCAGCATTAAGCCCTGCAGTCTGAACATAGCCATAGTCCCTCCAGCCTGTCCTGGGTCTTTCTGGTTAGTCTGGCGCCATCTAATGTCTCCGCTCAATTTAAATTCTCTTCAGCAACTAAGTCAGGAATCAGAATACACTATACAGTTTGCAAGAACCTCAGAAGTTGTAGACCTCGCACCGGCCAATCAGAGAAGAGCTGTGAAGCCATGACGTCAAACTCAAGCGTCTGTCTGGGTCCTTTTTGTGGAACAGCACAACAGTAAACAAAGCGTCGAGATGGATGTAGACAAAGACAGACATTCTGTGTTGGCAACGATTCCCGAGATCGAGGATTTAAAGCCGGAACAAAGAGAATGTTTGGTGGATTTTATCAAGGGGAAAGATTTTATTGCCCTTCTTCCTATGGAATGAATGCTAAAACATGGGGCGAGTTGCTGGATGCACCTCGATGTTAATTTACATAGACTTGAAGGTAAATCAGCAGGGATGGGACAAGACACAATTTCCACAAAATGAGACAAGATAAGAGATTGGGTCCAAGAGAACGAGACATTTGACAATTCAGTTTCCAATTTTGGCCTCACAATGTTTAATTTACTTGATTTCCACTCTAGCACTGCTTTTTGGAACTGTAAGAGGCGTAACTCACCCACATGTGACTCTTTTATGTCCAGTCCAAATGTAAACGCTTGGAAAAAATCTCACAAGATCATTTTTCTCATGTGTGTGGATGATCTTGTGGCCATTTGTCTCGCGATATCTTGTTGCATAAGATTTTTTACCATCCTTATAAACCAGACATTTGTCACAGAGCAAAACATGAGGCGTTGTTGACTTTATTTCTGTGTAAATCTGATATTTTTGTGTGTATCCACAGGTGATCCACTGCAGCGGGTACCTGAAGGTGCGCCAGTACAGTCTGGACATGTCTCCGTTCGATGGCTGTTATCAGAACGTGGGGCTGGTGGCGGTGGGTCACTCTCTGCCTCCGAGCGCCGTCACAGAAATCAAACTGCACAGTAATATGTTTATGTTCAGGGCCAGTCTGGACATGAAGCTCATCTTCCTCGACTCCAGGTACAGTGGGTTTAGAGGGTCCTCTGTAGAGCTTCAGAAACACTGCAGGGGAGGCTCTAAAGGTTGTCCACACAAATAGGATAGAGAATTTAGGTTAAAATTAACTTCACACAATTTATTTGTTTAATTATCTGGTTTAAATCAGTATTAACTAAGCCCAGACATTTAGCAATATTTAAGTTTTACGTAGACCTGACACGATCAGACTGAAGTGACCCAAATTTTTTATCAGGTCTTTTAAAGGCAGTCTGAACGACACAAAGTGGACACATGATAAATACTGAGCCCCAGAATCTATCGTTCCAGATTAGCAGATTGTTGTAAAGGACGGAGTGATTGTTTCAAACTGACAGATCCCTGTGTGTTTCAGAGTGGCAGAGCTGACCGGGTACGAGCCTCAGGACCTCATCGAGAAAACCCTGTACCACCACGTCCACAGCTGCGACTGCTTCCACCTGCGCTGTGCCCACCACCTCTGTGAGATATTTACACTACTACTACTACTACTACTACTACTACTACTACTACTACTACTACTACTGATACTACTACTACTACTACTACTACTACTACTGTCTACTACTACTACTACTACTACTACTACTACTACTACTACTACTACTACTACTACTACTACTACTACTTCTGCTACTACTTCTGTCACCTCTACTACCACTTCTACTACTGATACTGATACTACTACTAATCCTGCTACTACTACTGCTGCCACTCCTACTCCTATTACTACTACTGCTACTACTACTGCTGTCACTCCTACTACTACTATTACTACTACTACTGTCACTCCTACTACTACTACTACTACTGTCACTCCTCCTCCTCCTCCTCCTAATACTACTATTGTCACTGCTACTACTACTGCTGTCACTCTTCCTACTACTACTACTACTACTACTACTACTACTACTACTACTTCTACTACTACTACTACTGTCACTCCTACTACTACTACCACTAATCCTGCTACTACTATTGCTGTCACTCCTACTACTACTGCTACTACTACAGTACTACTAGTAATAATACTACTACAAGTGCTATTATTACTACTACCACTACTGCTGCTATTACTACTTGTAGTAGTATCACTACTGCTACCACTACTGTTATTGCTACTACTACTGTTACTATTTGTACTACTAATACTCCTCCACCCTGTACACACCATCTCTGTGAAATTCACACGTGTTAACTACATGTCATTTTTATTTTTTTCTACTTTTACAAACCTAAACCCTTAAAATCCACACAGTTAGTGTTTAAAGGTGCATTATGTAACTTTTCTGGTGGAGGGTCCATCAGATGCTTTTCTCAGTGGAGATGTTTTTGCTTTGTCTGGAAAGTTTCACAGTATGGTACAAGGAGATGAAACCAGACCAAGTTACAGGTCAGATCTGTGGAGAGGAGACCCCGCTCACAGTCAGAATGTCTGTTTTTCTTTGTACTTTTGAGCTATAAAACCACCTGTAATTGAATAAATATAAGATAGAGCTGTTTAATTCCAAGCAGAAACGTGACGACCCCCAACCAACCATAAAGTTAAAGTCAAAAGTATTTCCACATTGTCCTCTCTTTCATCTAACCCTCTGTGTTTTTGTGTTTCGCTCCAGTGCTGGTGAAGGGCCAGGTCACCACCAAATACTACCGCTTCCTGTCCAAACACGGCGGCTGGGTTTGGGTGCAGAGCTACGCCACCATCGTCCACAACAGCCGCTCGTCCAGACCTCACTGCATCGTCAGCGTCAACTACGTCCTCACGTGAGTCCACACTGCCCTTACGTACTCTGAATTTACTTTGGTTTTCAGATTAGAGAATGAATACAGAATCAGTAATGGAAAATAACAAAGTGAAAATAGTGAAGTACTTAAGTAAACATTTTAGGCATCTGTACATTTTTAGGTGAAGTCTTTTTACTTTTACTTCACTACATTTGAGAGCAAGCATCTATACTTTCTACTACTACTTTTTATCAAGTTAATAATTTGAGCAAACACAAATATGCAAATAAAAGCAGCGAGGAGAAAACAATCGAGTCAATTGTTTTTTTAGAACAAAATTCTGCACAAATCTGTGTCAAAATCACTAAATTTAAAGCTTTATTTAACCTCAAAAATAGCACATTTTTACTCTTTATGTGGATTTTTAATACTTTTACTTAAGTAGATTTTTTCATGTGATACTTTTACTTTTACTTGAGTATTTATTTGCTCCAGTATCTGTACTTTTACTTAAAGGTTGTATGGAGGATTTTTTTTTGTTTCAAACTGTCAGTCAAAGATTAAAATACCATTACAGAGACGCAGCAGCTTTGTAATTATGATGACCAAAAAAAAAAGAACGAAAATCTATAAACTGTGGACGTGTTGAGGCCAGATAAACATCAGCCAATAGAAAACGAGGCTCCCTCATTTTCTATTGGCTGTTAGGTTGTCAATCAAACTCCCTAGTATAACTGATTCGTCGGTGCGCGGGGATTACGTGGTTCGCGCAGTGGTTCTTAGAGGCTTTTTCGAACTGTCGCTTCCTCGCATTTCGCACAAAGTTTGTCGCGACTGCGGACGAGAATCTACGACCGGTTCGCCGCAAAAGAAAGTCAGTTTTTGAGGTCGCTGAAAGAAGAAGAGACGGGGAAAAGGAGCAAAGCCAAACTGGGGTGATTCTTGAAGATCTCGTCCAGCGAATTGCGTGACCGAAGCAGACGAAGGGTCTAAAAACTGACACGTCGGTCGCTGAATTTCTTCTAGACAGGAAACTTCAACAGTAATTCTGAATGCGCACAAGGACTGTCGCTGTATTTCTCTTCCCTTAAAAAAATCCTCTATACAACCTTTAAGTATATAATAATAGGTTAAAATACCGAATAATAATATTATTCTGAATTTAGTCAGAACAATTCTACGTGATGTCATGTAGTACTTGAAATGATACTGACCACTGGAGACAATACACACAGATGTTTTTTTTTACTTGTTTTGTTTTTATTTTTGACCATAAAGCTGCTTAGTTCACACTAAAATAAAAACAAATAAATAATAGACAAAAAAAGATAAAAAACATATACTTTATTCTATTTAGAAGGTAAAATAAGTAATTCCGCTGTCTTAAAATAACAATATTAATGTGCATTGACGAAGTGTTAGAAATCTGACATGTTGAAGTGAATTGCGTTCCTCAGACACAATGGTTTATTCCTATTGACACAGGCGCATGTACAGATGGGATCGGCGCCCCCTGTCTGTCAACTCAAGTGTCATCGCCGTCATACGAGATAATGAGATCTGTGCGCAAACAGCTCAGAGGGAAGCAATTAGCGGAAGGTTAATTAGAAAAATGACTTGTATTTGTCAAGAAATAGAAAGAAAGTTTGATCTGGAGGTTTTTATCAGAGGAGACAAAGGGTGATGCAATGAAACCTGGTGTATATATATATATATATATATATATTTTGGTCATCTTTAGTGTAAATCTGTTGCGTTTTTGAGAGATTTGTATGCGGTGAGCGGCTCAGAATCGACCATTGTCCGTTGTTGGTGTGTGGGGCCAGTGGAGACTCCAGTACAGTTGATCCAGGCCTGTGTGTAAACAACAGGGAGGCTGCGGACGTCTGGTGTTTCTCAATATGAAGTTTGATTCATGGAGTTGGATGGTGAAATTCAGCAAACAAGGCCACTTTTCCTGTTTGTCGCTGTCGGCCAATCAGAGCCCGCTCCCTTTGTCCACTCAACCAATCACCGGTCTCATATAAATGCACTTTCTCTCCTCTCCCTCCTCAAATAGACATTACATATTTAAAGAGACGTTAAACACCCTCCTGAAGCTTTACTCCGTCCCTAAGCAAAACCTGAAAAATCCTCCAGAGTGGGCGGCGCGCGGCGGGTTGGGGACAGCGGGTGTGGGGCGGGCTCTGGAGCGATGATTGACAGCCGACTGACAACCACAACAATCCAACGTGACTTTGAAACAGAGCGGACTTTTTATAGAACTATAATAAAATCTGGAAGATGAATCCAAAATGTGTGAAAAATCCCTCAGTCGTCCAAGTAGAATCCATGGAAAAGGAGAAATTCAATTTATCGACTGGACAAAAGTTTATTTGATCGAATACGTTTCACAGCTCATCCAAGTTGCTTCTTCAGTTGTCAACTTTATATTTTACAATTATTATCTCTGTTTTAAGTCTGTAAAATCACTCAGCACACACTCTATACACTTTTCTCACACAGGACAGTTACAACCTTTTTTGCATCCCTCTTAAAATGTATCACTGCTGTCGTCCTTTTGTTATTCTCCTCCTTTATGTAACAAACCAAAGATTAATTTATTCCATAATGGAGCCTACAGCGCAAAGTCACTGCTCCATTTTTGGAGACTCGCACCTGCGCAGTACAACACTGCACCCGCCCATTAACCCGAGATTATATCAAACTTTTGCGCTGCCTACACCACGGACTGAACCAAGACTAAACCAGGACTAAACCAGGACTGAACTCTAGGACTAAAACAGGAGTAAACCAGGACTAAACCAGGACTGAACTCTAGGACTAAAACAGGAGTAAACCAGGACTAAACCAGGACTAAACCAGAACTAACCCAGGACTAACCTAAGACTGATTCCAGGACTGAAGAGGAGGATTAAACCAGGACTGAACTAGGACTAAAACAGGAGTAAACCAGGACTAAACCAGGACTAACCCAGGACTAGCCTAGGACTGATTCCAGGACTGAAGCGGAGAACTAAACCAGGACTAAACTCTAGAACTAAAACAGGAGTAAACCAGGACTAAACCAGGACTAAACCAGAACTAACCCAGGACTAAACTAGGACTGATTCCAGGACTGAAGCGGAGGACTAAACCAGGACTAAACTCTAGGACTAAAACAGGACTGAACTAAGACTAAAACAAGAGTAAACCAGTACTAAACCAGGACTAAACCAGAACTAACCTAGGACTGATTCCAGGACTGAAGCGGAGGACTAAACCAGGACTGAACTCTAGGACTAAAACAGGAGTAAACCAGGACTAAACCAGGACTAAACCAGAACTGAAACAGGACTCACTGTCAGGACGGGCTCGGAGGCGACCGCAGGAGAAAGGACCGTCTCAGCTTCGGCTCAATTGCCCTATCACACTTTGTGGACAAACTGCTCGGGGTTCTAGCTCTTAAGTCCAAGATTAGTCCTGGTTTAGACCTGGTTTAGTCCTGACCCGCCCGTGTGTAATTACTACCCGCCTGTAATACGCAGTACGTGTTTATATGCTGTAAAGAAAAGCATGCAAAATTGCGCAAAAAAAATCCGAGAAACAGCGAGATCGTGAAAAGTGAACCACGATATAGCGAGGGACGACTGTAATTCGATATATTGTGATGGTCCACGAGAACTTTGACGATATCAAGATATTTCGGTTATTGTTTTTAACATCATGATCATTCTTCCTCCAATCTAGATAAATCTGGACTTAATTTCCATCGCCACAACAATCCCGCGTAGCCACGTTTCCGAAGCGGTGATTTGTTCAAAGGGAAACCCGGAGAAACAAGCTGTAAGCCATAAAGAGTGATTTAGTTTACAGTCCATCAATTATAAGGTGGTTAACACAGCGGTATTATGGGATGGACGCAGCGAGCAGAGGAGACTTCTGTGGAGCGGTTTAATGTGAGGTTTTATGAGCTTTAAATCACCGAACTTCTGTCAAATTCACACATCAGGGCAATAAAATAATGTACACAAGAGGGATCGTGTGGTTAGGCAGTGTGGGTAACAGCAGCTACAGCCGTTTCAGGAGGAATTTATCAGGATGGAGTAAGAATAGGTAGGACATTTTTGGAGTCAAGACATATTATGCTGTTTTCTGATCTATGTTATAATGTCGTTTCCTCATCACAAACAGACCTGGAGTTTTCAGTTGAAGAAAAACGGTTGAGCGCTTCACTGGGTCATTTAAAAAGTACCGTATTTTTTGGACCATAAGGAGTAATATCGGTAATGTTGAATTCTCTCGTCTTTTTTCATACATAAGTCGCACTGGATTATAAGGCACATTCAACGAAAAAAAAAAACGGGCGACACTTGAGACTGATCCCTTAGCCCAGGCGTCCACGATCCATCGGCAGATCGTGGTGTAAATTTGCTCGCCGTTGCCTGTCTGGCTTGGTGAATTATGAATGTGAATGTGGGTGGATCATTTAAGTTTGTTTATTTGTTTATTTTCTTTGAGTAATAATGTGTTTAATGCAGTTTTGCGCACATTTGTTTACATTTTACAGAAACAAAACTTAAAACCACATGGATAATTTGCATAAACTATAAGCGCTGAAAAAAACTGATTGCTCCTTGTGCCCTGATGTGTTCAGCTTCTGTCGGACTAAACGACACGACAATCCATCAAGCGGTGCGGCTTCGTAGTTTACCAAAGTCGTACTAAAACATTTTGACAGATTTTTGAGAAAATTAAAAGATTTTAAGTGCGCCTTATAGTCCGAAAAAGCACTGAAAATAACTTGCTCCTTGTGCGCTGATGCGGTTCAGCTTCTGTCGGACTAAGGATCGTAAATTGGGCTTTTTCCTGACTACAGGTCGCTATAATTCTCCGACGATCCATCAGGCAGTGCAGCTTCGTAGTTTACCAAAGTCGTACTAAAACATTTTGACAGATTTTTGAGCGCCGTGTACCACATAAAATCAATTCGAGGTCAGTAAGCACAACCAGAATTAATACATAAGGCGCACCGGATTATAAAGTGCACTGTTGATTTT